CGAACGTTTACTGTCACCAGGCCATCTAGTGTCATCAGGCCATCTAATGTCAGCAGACCGTCTGTCACCAGACCATCGAATGTCAACAGACCATGCGGTCCAAATGCGTTGACCACAAGTATTTATATTTTTTTCAATGCGCGAGGCACAACATGTCTAGGTCATGATTCAGTTACCGTGGTGATGCTGTCTGTAAATCCGTTGCCACGGTGAAGCTGTCTATAAGCTTAGTTCCAATAAAAACTATTTGAAGAATGAGCGGGGTTGTAGACAGACTAAGCTAAGTCTGTATCTGTGAGTGGGTAGGTCCATATGTATGTGTGCATGTGTATAGGCTAGACATTAGTCGAATGGATCTGTATGTAAAAGCCAGCCATACGTGGAAGGGGGAGGGGAGGTGTTTGAATGGACCTGACAAAATATATGCAGAAAAGGCACTGAGCACGAACCTCTTGACCGGCCGCTCACAAAGAGCACACAAAAAAAAAAGGGGGGGGCGGTGTTTGAATGAACCAGCTGTAAGTCAAACGGGGGGCTGCCTTGTTAACTTATGATGTCGATCGATACCTCGTTAAGCCGTACAATGTTTTGTACCTTGTTATTTAAAGCTACCCTACCCTCCTCCCTGTGGGTAAATCAATCCGTCAGTTACTTACTACCCTACCTCTACACACCACGCCGAACGGTTCGCTTTGAAACGTACATCAATAACACAGCCATCGAGCCAGCTAATCGGCCAGCCAATCCTATTGTACATAAACCGCACATGTAATGAGCCACCTGATCCTAATGTACATCAATAACACAGCTACTGAGCCACTTATTGAGCCACCTATTGAGCCACTTATTGAGCCACTTATTGTGCGACCAATTGAGCCATGTATTTACTGTGTACTGTGCGTATCTACTGGTGTGTGTGTATCCACTGTTTTGTGTGTATCTACTAGAATTTTCCAAACAGAATAAAAAAATTGCATACTGACAAAATTGCGTACAAACAAAATTGCATACAGACAAAATTGCTTACAGACAAAATTGCTTACAAACAAAATTGCTTACAAACAAAATTGCATACTGACAAAATTGCGTACAAACAAAATTGCTTACAGACAAAATTGTTTACAGACAAAATTGCTTACAAACAAAATTGCTTACAAACAAAATTGCTTACAAACAAAATTGCTTACAGACGAAATTGCTTACAGACAAAATTGCTTACAAACAAAATTGCTTACAGACAAAATTGCTTACAGACACATTTGCTTACAAACAAAATTGCTTACAAACAAAATTGCTTACAAACAAAATTGAAACAAAATTGCTTACAAACAAAATTGCTTACAGACAAAATTGCTTACAGACAAAATTGCTTACAGACAAAATTGCTTACAGACACATTTGCTTACAGACAAAATTGCTTACAGACAAAATTGCTTACAGACAAAATTGCTTACAGACAAAAGCCTCATCGCCACAACAATGATAATTTTAAAAAGCAAACAATTGAATAACGTCACAAAATGTTTGAGTGAGAACCCTTGATTAGATGATCGGGGCAAAGGGGAGGGGGGGTCCTTGTGCGCTTTTCAAGCTCATAAAAAAATCACATAGTGATAAAATTACTTGAACAGATTGCTACACAAAGAGAGGTGTGCAGTTGGGCCCAGGTGTAAAATGTATGCACTGCAGCATATAGATAATAAATGATAAGCACATCCTGGTGTGTGTAACTGCTGTTGTGTGTGTATCTAATGTTGTGTGTGTATCCGCTGGTGTGTGTGTATCTACTGGTGTGTATCCACTGGTGTGTGTGTATCCACTGGTGTGTGTGTATTCACTGGTGTGTGTGAAATCCACTGGTGTGTGTGTGTATCCACTGGTGTGTGTGTATCCACTGGTGTGTGAGTATCTACTGGTGTGTATCTACTGGTGTATGTATCTACTAATGTGTGTGTGTGTGTATCTACTGGTGTGTGTGTGTCTACTGATGTGACGTTGTGTGTGTATCTACTATAGTGTGTATCTACTGGTGTGTGTCTACTGGTGTCATGCTGTGTGTGTGTCTCCTGTTGTGTGCATCTGGTTCACAAAAACATATCAGCTCTTAACATTGGATTGATTGTGGCTTGTCCTGAGCTTGATATCAGAGGGTGGGTTTTTGGTAGGGCTGAGCCGCATGAGATTTTTTACACCCTGATTTCAGGTATTTCGAGAGAATACCCAGCATGAGACTTTTTTAGACCCTGATTTCAGGTATTTCGAGAAAATTCCCAGCATGAGACTTTTTTAGACCCTGATTTCAGGTATTTCGAGAGAATTCCCAGCATGAGACTTTTTTAGACCCTGATTTCAGGTATTTCGAGAGAATACCCAGCCAGATCCGAGTCCAAATCTTACAAAATTAAAAAGTGGTATCTTCTCATTTTCTGTCATGCAACCCACCCAAATGGGACAAGTTAAAAGTACATTAAAGAAGCTGTTCAATTATTTATGTTTACATAATTTTGTGTACATTTTACTTGAATTAAATAAATAATAACAGAAAAATGACTAGGTAAAAAAAAATGAGCAAAAAAAAAAAAAAAAAAAAAAAAAAAAATAAAAACTGGTTCTTTATATGCACTTTTCCCTTCTCCCATTTGGGTGGATTGCATTACAAAATTGTTCAAAAAATGTACATTTGACCTCAAATAAATAAATAATAATATAAAACTCAGTTTTTCCCCAGTGACCCTGGGCTCCAGACTTGTGCATAATTAAAAACTCTCAGAGGAGCAACTGGATTATCTATTCTTCATGTTGTTTTTTTTAAGCTATCCCACTTCCAGTGATTCAAATACCACTCACGCAGTGAATGCAATCAAAATACAGCACACTGTCATTTAACATATCTATTTTGATTTTTTAAGCTGCAAATTTTTCAGAAATATATTAAAATCTTATTTGAAAAATAAAGGCAAAAATTATAAATTTTACCCCCCCCCCCAAAAATGTTTAAAGGGGGATAATTTTAGATTAGAGGGCAACAACTCCATCTTGGAGCACCTGGCTGTTTTATCATTTTACCATTTTTTGGAGTGCTTCAAATGAAATCTACGCTAAGGCACTATAGCGCCTACCCAAAACGTGGCTTGGGGGAGGGGGGGCACGACTGGCACGATTTCAACTGCAAAGGGGAGGTAATGCTTTAAAAACTATTATTGGAACTCTGCGAAAATAATTCGGTTATTTCCCTTTTCAAGACCCTCTTCAAGATGGTTAAATCTGTGGAATTGATTTTAATTTGTGATATTGGAGAAAATCTAAATATAACTTTTGTTCAACGTTTGTTGAGTCACAGAGATCAGGGGTAAAGATAGCAATCAGAAAGAAGAATACTGTAGCAGAACATTGTAACGCAGGTAGATGGTTGCAGTCATGTTTCTTGTAAACAATTGCTTGACATTTTAAATAGAAATATGAACTCTTCCTGCTGTGACAAAATATCAATGTACATTATTGTATGTGACACAACGCTGGATTCTGAGGGCTATGGCTCCATCTCCAGCCATACAGCCATGCACCGCAGCAAACGTTTAGCTAGAAGGGAACAAAGGAGAAAAGCGAAGGTGTTTCACTCACCTGTCATATTGGCATCAAGCGAACAGTCTCCTATACTCTCATCCCCAGATATGCTGCTCATCACAGACGTCTGCAGGAGTCGCTTGGTCCTGGCCGGCACGACGTCCAGGGTGCTGGGGGGCTCCGCACGAGACGGGCTGACCTCCTGTATCTTCTCGGGTGAGTTGAAGTACGCCGCCCTGAGGTACGACCGGTCAAGGTCGGGGCGGAGAATGGCACTGATGTCCGACTCTGTGAAAAATTCCATGGGACTGTCCGATAGTTCCGATGTGGTTGTGTCGTTAAGCGCTGATGTGGTTTCAGATGGTGTTGGCCGAATGGGCTCGGGTTTAGCAAGAGATGTGGTTTTCAATGTGGTTTCAGAGTCGACATCTGTTGGTGGAGGATCGGATAGATCCCGTGCGGAGCTGCGGTCCTTGAACCGACGGTAAATATCCTGCTCCGATACCCTATTTTGCTCTATGGATTTCATCATACGATGTGTGGATGGATCAAATCCGGATGTCCCGTTTCCAAGGTTGTCATTAGAGTTTAAGATGAATCCGTTGGATATCTCATCCACTTCATCTGAGGAAGTGTTTCTCTCGGGATCCTGTAGCTCTATCGTGTAATGACTGGGGGTGGGGATGATGGTGTCCCCTGCTGGTTGGTTCTTGTTCTTCTTCTTTGATCTGTGAGAATGAGAAACATGGATACGTTAAGCCATACACCATACACAACTAATGCGGCTGCATAACATCTATATTGGTTTAGATATAAAGCTCTAAAATTCAGCCCTGCAAACCACTGCTGCACTTGATTTAGCAGAACAAGTATACTTCTTACTGAAATTGTGATAAAAGTCTCTCATTAAGCCAACATGAGATTAAACAAAAAGTTTGAAAGGTTTTGTTTTTTTTTTTCTTTCTTTTGAGAAGGCGAATGATGTGGACAAAATTATGATGCATAAAATATATATAAAGATGTATATATTATACATAAGTAAGGTTTAATTCATGCAAATATTTTACTAAGCCTTAGAACTGTTATGTCAGGCTTCATGAGAACGTATAGGATTTTAACATTTCAAGCGCAGAGTGGAAGTCAGCTCTGAACCATCAGACAATTATTGTGAATTTTGTAAATATAATTCATACTTAGATTAATGTTTGTTTTGGGGGGGGGGTAGAGAATTTGTGATACTTTGTGACATGCTAGAGGGGGGGAGGGGTAGAGAATTAGTGATACTTTGTGGGGGGGGGGGGGGGTTTAATGTACTGATGAAGGAGTTTGCCGAAAAGTTTTCATTTGTATCTGTATAATCATTATTAAAGCTGAACCTATATTGTTTCATTTACACAAATTATCTGTGTCTCATTGATTTACTAGAAAAACTTTAACTACTTTGAGTTTGATCGCCCGACAAGTTTCATGAACGACTGCCGGACTTGACTCCTGGAGAACTTCCCGGGGCGTTTGGGCTTGTCTGTTAAAGCGTCGGTTGGACTGTCCCGATCTGTGTCTGGATCCGAGGGCGTGTTGGCCAGACTCTGGGCAGAGCCGTCCGCCGACCTGGATTTGTTGGAGCGCTCCTTGGACCGCTTGCGCCTGAAGTGCGGGGAGACGCGCTTCAGGAAGTTTGTGATGCTCAAACTGACCGAGCGCTTGGATGGGGTCAGCCGTCCACTTTCAACTGGGCTTCCCCTGCCTGGAGGAGGATAGAAATAGTCATTATGTTACTGGTAAAAAAGAACACATCATCACTGTCGAGCTGGTGTTTCATTTGAGCAATCTGTCCTGAATCTAACTTGTAAATTGATTGAAAGAATCAATTAGTGGAACTTGGGTTTGAAATTGTTAGGTTTCAAAGTTTATTCAAGTCTGTGTATCTGAAGCCATGTTTATTCAAAACTCTCTTTGTTTGCACCTTTGTACAAAATCTTCACTGATCGACTTAAGATCCTTAAATATTTAATCACACATGCCTGAACTTGGGTCACATTAACTCAGGGGTTCTTAACCTTTCAAAGGCGCCGCAACCCTTAATTTCACACCCCAATCATAAAGAAAAATGAAAAGACAAATTAATTTGATTTTCTGGGTCCTCCCACCCACCTTGGTTAAGAACCCCTGCACTTTTGTACAACATTGCTCATATCAACGCAAGGTAATAGAACCATTCAAAACAGCACTGGAATGCAACAGAACAGATGTAGCAACACTGTACATACAAATCAAAGCTTTACTCTAAATGTGCCAGAGATAAATAATATGTGCATAGTACATAAAATGGACATTCAATTATTCCAATTTATGAATTTATGTATAAAAACAACTTTTTCATTTGAAAACAGTTACTTGTAAATTTATTTTAATTAATTTTAATTTTTTTTTTTTTTTTTTTTTTTTTTCCTCTGAACTTTCAAAATCTAATATTGACAACAGAAGCACAACAGATTTGAGAGGAATAAACGTTTCAAAACAATTTTGAGCTGGGTCAAATTCAGCATTGGCAAAGTGATTAGTGTCACAAACAGTGATGAGACAAAATTTTAAATAGTGACAAATTATAATAGGGAGAAAGCCCCCTCCCCCCACCCCACACCCCACCCCATACATACACACACTTTTTGGATACTTTGAGATCCCAGGTATAAAATCTAGTGCATGAGTCATATTTATATTGTGTTCTTTGTTAGTGATGTTACTTAGTAGATTTTAATCATGTGTAGAGGTAAGTCATGTTAAGTAAAGTAAAGCCAGTTTACGACGCAATAGCTGGAAAAAAAAGCAAAAGTCCATGATTGATTATTTCCTTTGAATACATTGTTAGTAATGTTACATAGAATTAAGAAATGGATTTAACAAAAGTAACATAAAAATTGTGCATGCTTGTGATGCAGCACCTGAAACAAAAACCTAAAAAACTTACAATGTTAGTACAGTGCCCAGAACTAACTAACGAAGAGACCAAAAGTAACAAAATACAAGAGTACTACAGCTGATACACAGGTATGCGGGATACAAATTCTTAGGATAGAAATATCCCTATTGAAAGGGTAGATTTGTTAAGTCAAACTGCCAAACATAAGCCTTTTTCATTCCACAAGTCAATTAGGATTGCCAAGAGTTCAAGAATAGGTATTTTTGCGTCCATAACCAATGGGATCGGGACGCCAATTTTAGGTTTTCCCTTATGCAGATTACATTAGAAAATGAATGACCTCCAATTTCAGAAGGGTCTAGGTAGTTTTTTTTAATCATTCTCTTCGCCTATCAGCTGCCCAAAACGAATAGATGTTTTCAGTAGGTCATTTCCCCCAGTGTTTATTAAGTCAACACCCCCCTTCCCCCAACCAAAGCGAGTTATCGAACTTGCAGAGATTTAAGAAAGAGATTGATCCGTAAAACCTGCTCTGTTTGACACTTTAACTCTGTAAGGCATTACTTACTTTTTGCTTGGGCTAATTTTAAAAAAAGAAGGATTCAATACATAGAGTTATTGTTTTGTTTCGTTTCTTTAATTAACTCACAACAACAAAAAAAGGAAGAAAAAAAAACCAAAAAAAATTTTTTTTTAAATATTAAGTCCATGATGCGTCAATCCAGTTATGAAAATAAGATGAGATGAACAGTTCAGATCTCTTTGCATTTTTTTTAAATTTTTTTTAAGGAAGAACCTGATTGCAATATTTTACAAGAATGCATTCTCAATTTTTAAAACAAAAATTCGTCACATCTGCAGAGTAAATACCTGGGCTTGTCTCCCCTTGTGATGTATCGGCAGGTGAGGAGCTGACAATGTCGTCTCCATGTTGGCTCACATTGTTTGTCAGCGGCAGGTCACCTCCATCTGTCAGAAGATAGAATGTCATCTGAATAGTCAAAAATAGTTTTTTTTGGTCAAATCTAACCCTTATATAACTATTTTTGCATCGTAAATCATCACTCGAAAATAATTTTTTTTTTGCATTGTAAAATCTCACCTTGATATAACTAAAATGCTTATTTCATTTTATCGATTTATGATGAATAATGCTGCTGACTCAATGGCATCCTTGTGGGAATTTTTATGAATATTCTGTTACCACCTTATACAATATCTTCATCATGATCAACGGCACTACCGCCGATGGAGGGCCCTGGCCTGCTCCACAATAGCCTTCAGTTTACCTCAATTCATGGCTTTCCGCCTCCATGCTGAGATAACTCCAGCTGATTTAGTTCCATCTCTAAATCGTCAACACAATACATTCTATGCCCACTACTTTATACACCCACTACATTCTAGTTACACACAACTACAGTCGACACAATACATTCTATGCCCACTACTTTATACACCCACTACATTCTAGTTACACACAACTACAGTCGACAACATTCTATGCCCACTACTTTATACACCCACTACATTCTAGTTACACACAACTACAGTCGACACAGCTAAACTCTAAACCCGAAACGTTGTACATCCAATATATTTTACACTGACAACATCAAGATAATCTTTTAAAAAATCTCACAACAGAACCTGATAAAACCATGTTTTTGTTTTGTTTACTCTAAACACTACAAGTCTTCATGCAGAATTAATGTTTCTATTCTTTTTTGCAGACCCAAGTTCCACACCAATTAATTCTTGAACCTTTATTAATATCATTGAAATCATCCATATACTGCTATTCTCTATTAATAAAATTAGGTTTTTTTTTTTTTTTTTTTTTTTTTTTTTTTTTTTTTTTTTTTTTTTTTTTTTTTTTTTTTTAAATTTTTTTTTTTTTTTTTTTTTTTTTTTTTTTTTTTTTTTTTTTTTTTTTTTTTTTCTTTTACATTCCTGTTACCATGGTGACAGCCTAACTTAGACCTGATACACTTGGGTAGCCATTGATTTGTGAAATGTATTAATGAATTAATGGGTGAAATAACTGAACCAGGAGCTACAAGGCTTAAGCACCAAGTAGCCTGAAATAACTTCATAGCATTGAAGTAGTGTTGATTGTAAAACCAAATCACGCGAAGCCTCTTCTAGGCTCTGGATTATTTTGTTGTTTAACTTGAACCCTTTTCTTGTTTTTTTTATAATTTTTTATTATTACTTTTTTTTTTTTTTTTTTTTTTTTTTTTTTTTTTCATGTCCAAAGTAAAGAACAAGAATTTTGTTTGGTTACAGAGCCAACACAAAGAGCAAGAACTCAAGCTCTCCCTGGTGTTTGCCAAACCAGCTTATGTCCCCTGACTTACTAATGATGTTCAGTCCCCCGTTCCTATCATCGTCGGCGGCTCTGCCGTCGGCCAGTTGATGATGATGATCTTCTTCGTCTGTTTGTTCGGCCTCCTGCAACAGGAGCTCCCTGGCCAGCTTGCTGATGTCCTCCCCGTAGTCTCCCTTGAGGGCGTCCGTGTGGTTGAGCAGACGATCGTGCTCGTAGTCCCTGGCTATGAAGTCGGGGATTCCCGTGGGGCTGGAGGGCTCTGCGTGTGTAAAAATGACATTGTTATGGGAAGGGCGAGGCCGATGTGACAGTGTGGCAAGACCCTGACCTTTGCTACGTGAACATATGATATATTAAAATACCCTATCGTGGTGGCTGACCATGGGGCTGACCATGTGGTTACGTGGCTGACCACGTGGTTGACTCTGTGGTTGACTATGTGGATATGTGGCAACCGTTTCAAATTCAAAGAATTTAATTTTTCATCCCACACCCCTTCCCCAACCACACAGCCCTCCCACACCCCCACCCCATCCCGCACACCTCCCAGATCCCCCCCCCCCTTGTATTTGCCTCAACAACCACACCAGTATTTAAAGACCGTATGATAGGATTACGAGAACAGGTTGGTTCTAGAACGCTGCCAATAAATGACTAATGAGAATTGATGGCCGGTCAGGCGACAGCAGTGTCACTGACTGAAGTAATTCGGTCAGGGGACAGCAGTGTCAAACACTGAAGCCATTCAGTCAGGAAACAAGAGTCAGAGACTGAAGTCATTGGTCAGGAGACAGCAGTGTCAAACACTGAAGCCATTCGGTCAAGAGACAGCAGTGTCATAGACTGAAGTCATTCGGCCAGGAGACAGCAGTGTCACAGACTGAAGTCATTCGGTCAGAAAACAAGTGTCAGAGACTGAAGTCATTGGTCAGCAGACAGCAGTGTCAAATACTGAAGCCATTTGGTCAGGAGACACCAGTGTCAAATACTGAAGCCATTCGGTCAGGAGACAGCAATGCCACAGACTGAAGTAATTCGACCAGAAGACAAGCAGTGTCACTGACTGAGCCATTCGGCCACGAGAGGAGACAGCAGTGCCACAGACTGAAGTAATTCGGTCAGGAGACAGCAGTGTGTCACAGACTGAAGTAATTCGGTTAGGAGACAGCAGTGTGTCACAGACTGAAGTAATTCGGTCAGGAGACAGCAGTGTGTCACAGACTGAAGTAATTCGGTCAGGAGACAGCAGTGTGTCACAGACTGAAGTAATTCGGTTAGGAGACAGCAGTGTGTCACAGACTGAAGTAATTCGGTCAGGAGACAGCAGTGTGTCACAGACTGAAGTAATTCGGTTAGGAGACAGCAGTGTGTCACAGACTGAAGTAATTTGGTTAGGAGACAGCAGTGTGTCACAGACTGAAGTAATTCGGTCAGGAGACAGCAGTGTGTCACAGACTGAAGTCAATTGGTCAGGAGACAGCAGTGTGTCACAGACTGAAGTCATTCGGTCAGGAGACAGCAGTGGCACACACTGAAGCCATTGGGTCAGGATACAAGTGTGACACACTGAAGTGCTTCGGTCAGGAGACAGCAGTGTCACAGACTGAAGTAATTCGGTTAGGAGACAGCAGTGTGTCACAGACTGAAGTCAATTGGTCAGGAGACAGCAGCGTGTCACAGACTGAAGTCAATTGGTCAGGAGACAGCAGTGTGTCACAGACTGAAGTCAATTGGTTAGGAGACAGCAGTGTGTCACAGACTGAAGTCAATTGGTTAGGAGACAGCAGTGTGTCACAGACTGAAGTCAATTGGTCAGGAGACAGCAGTGTGTCACAGACTGAAGTCATTCGGGGTCCCCAGACAGCAGCTGATCAGACAAGGGCCCCGGCAGTTCCTTACCTAAGCTTGAGATACTGTTAGCGGTGCCCGGGGATGCCCGGGGGTCATTCTCCTTGCCCTTGTTGGTCCTGACAAGGCCATTGGTTGAAGGTGATGAAGGGCTGCTGGTAGTCTGACCCATGAAGCTTACACCTGGTGAATTTTTTTTTTAAGTTTCTGATTAAGTACCAATAATTGAATATCACATTTAGTTATTGGTAGGTCTTGATAAGAAATCAATAGTGGATTGTTCATTTAGCCTAAATTTTAAGATGCATATATATATATATATATATATATATATATATATATATAGAATGTAGAATGCATTGGATGCAGAATGTAGTTGATGTAGAATGTAGTGGATGTAGAATGTAATGGATGTAGAATGTAATGAATGTAGAATGTAGTGGGCGTAGAATGTAGTGGGCGTAGAATATAGTGGGCGTAGGAGATCGCAGGCTGACAACGTAGAGAAGGACTTACATCAGCTGGGAGTCCGCGCGTGGAGGCGGAAAGCCGTGGAACGATTGAACAGAGGGATGTTGTGGAGCAGCCACGAAACAATCGTAAAAGGGAGCTAATGTGACTATTGTGCCTTATGTTACGGAAATCGAATCAATTTATATACACCCGAGTTCTTACCAAAAAAAATACAGTGATCGTAATTGTGTAATTTTCTACGGAAATCGAATCAAATGAAATCTGATGAAATACCTGCCTCTTTATGCAAGGATGATACCTGTCTCTTTATGCAAGGATAATACCTGTCTCTTTATGCGAGGATAATACCTGCCTCTTTATGCAAGGATGATACCTGCCTCTTTATGCAAGGATAATACCTGTCTCTTTATGCGAGGATAATACCTGCCTCTTGATGCAAGGATAATACCTGCCTCTTTATGCAAGGATAATACCTGCCTCTTTATGCAAGGATAATACCTGCCTCTTTATGCAAGGATAATACCTGCCTCTTTATGCAAGGATAATACCTGCCTCTTTATGCAAGGATAATACCTGCCTCTTTATGCAAGGATAATACCTGCCTCTTTATGCAAGGATAATACCTGCCTCTTTATGCAAGGAAAATACCTGCCTCTTTATGCAAGGATATGATCATCCATCTCCTAAATATAAATTTCAAGGACGTGGAATATTGACGTTAGGTTGTTTTTTTTTTTTTTAAATCAAATTCCGATTCAGTTACACACGTAGGAATGTGATTTTGCTTGATGCTGAGCCTTCACAATGGCAGGTAGAAAGTGTCGCAAAAATACCTTCCATTTATATCCCGCTAACACCGACTCATAAAGTCTACCAATAGAAGACCGCGCCATTAAAAGGCCTAGAGTAGCGTGGGAGAGGAGCACACTTAGCAAGAAAGAAAGAAAAGAGAATGTTCAAGCATTGTCCGGGATGTGCCAAGAAGAGGCAAGAGACCTAAGGACAGGTGGAGCAGAGGCAGAGGTTGAAGAGTATGTGGTAATGGGAACCGTGTGGAGAGACGATGAGACTCAATCTTTGTAGTTCTTCTCATTCTTGTTATGAACGCACTTTTGAAATGAATGATTGATAATTTCCTTTTAATCAAATCTGTACAATTAATGTCTGTATCTGTGCGGCGCTAATGAATGTATGTACTTGTAAATTGTTTGCATTTCGAATGCAAAAATAAGAACATCGTTGTTTTTTTTTGGGGGGTGTTTTATTTTATTTATTAGAGTAGTGACACGCGGCCCACAAAGAGTTGACATGTGTTCAAATGGCCCGCGAAGACATGTGGGCTGTCCAGCCTTGTTAAAGAGGGCTGTGACAAAAGGGCATAATGATCACATGTCCTCATGACCCTGTGCTATAAAGGAATGTAAATAGGAGAAGAAAAAAAGGGGATGGGTGGGGACAGAGAGATAGAGAGAAATAGAGAGTGGGGGGAATGCTGCATGATTATAAATTAATTAATTTGTTTGTCCCGTGTTAAAGCATGTAAGGTGAATATCAACAAAGCTCATCTTTGTGCTAACGCGGTGGTGGTGAAACTACGGACCGCGGGACAGTACCCGGCCCGCCAGCCAAATTAGCATGCATAGCGAGCAGCCTAAAATAGCATGCACTCTGGTTTCAGGGCCAGAGGAAGACCAGGCCAGCGGACGGTTCGTCTGTGTGAATCACACCCTTAGGTCCCCACGTGAACCATCAGCAGTCCTCACACCTTGCGCATATCGCCAACTGTACCCCCTCCCTCCTACCCCGTGGAGACCCTTCCCCGGTAACAGCGAACAGAAAAGGGATTAAAAATGATATCGACATCTCAATCACCGCTTAAAACTCAATAAGTCCTCTGTACCTTTACTCCCCGTCGATGCGATGCACGGGTGCCAGCGCCCAATATTGGGAAACCATGTTGTTTCTCTTTTTTTATGACTTGAGGAAACATAAAGATTAACTTACCTCCATTGACATGTCCATTGTTTGCACTCCCATCACCTAGAACTGTCGGGCGGCCATTCTCCTTAAGCACACCTCTGGAATTCTGAGAGTCTTTGAGTATTCCCGGGTGCGAAGTGTTCGCTTTATTCGACAGCTGGGCCTGACAGTACGAGACATGCGCCCGATGGGTCTTGGATGAGGCGGGCTGTGGGCGGCCCCATACGGCCCTGTTCTGCCCGGGGCTCCACTGCATCTTTGTGATCTGATCGGACAGGTCCTTGAGCTCCGAGGAATAGTCTAGCCCGGAGTCTCTGCTCAGATCTTCGTAGTCCCCGTAGCTTATGTTGGTCACGTCCCTTACCCTCGGCCTCGGCTCAATGCGCCCGGGCGAGGTCTTCGTCGACTCGTACGACGAGATCGGCGAGAGTTGGCTAAACTCGTTGTACCTGGGCGAGATGAGGGCCCTGCTGAACGGCGAGGGCTTGGGGCCGCGCGTGAGGGCCTCCTCCTCGTCCCACTCGTGGCTGGACAGCTCCGTGAACATGCTGTCGTCCGTGTCCGAATGCCGGACGGTCACCCTCGTGTTGTAGGTGACCCTCTTCGGGCTTTTCGAGCGCCCCCGAGGCCTCCGCTTGTCCATCGCCGGCAAGAAGACAGGGGGCGCGCTCGCGTAGCTGACGTCGCTCCTGAGACTGGAGGTGGGGCTCAGAGACCGGCTGCGGTCTACCTTGCCCCACGTCACCGAATGCTTGGCCGAGAAGCTTGTTCTGTACGGCTGCGAGATCCTGTACACAACGTCCTGGGGCTCGTCTTCACCCGTGAAGCTTCCGTCCAGGGACGGCACCCGCCGGCCCCTGTGGTGCCTGAACGCCGGTCCCGGACTCCTCTGTCGGGTGATGCGGTCCGCGATGACCCGGTCCCGGCTGGAGCTCCTCGGGCGTCTGTCCAAGACGGAAACTGGTCCTTCTGTATCCATTGTGACCTTTCAACTGTTGCTTTGTTGGTATCTTTGCTGTCGGTTGATTCAGAAAATCTGAAGAGACAAGGAGATTATTGTAAGTCATATTATATTGATCAGGGGTTTTACTGTGCCCTATAAGATTGCTAGTGAGCAGTTTTACTGTGCCCTATAAGATTGCTAGTAAGCAGTTTTACTGTGTCCTATAAGATTGCTAGTAAGCAGTTTTACTGTGTCCTATAAGATTGCTAGTAAGCAGTTTTACTGTGTCCTATAAGATTGGTAGTAAGCAGTTTTACTGTGCCCTATAAGATTGCTAGTAAGCAGTTTTACTGTGTCCTATAAGATTGCTAGTAAGCAGTATTACTGTGCCCTATAAGATTGCTAGTAAGCAGTTTAACTGTGTCCTATAAGATTGCTAGTGAGCAGGTTTTACTGTGCCCTATAAGATTGCTAGTAAGCAGGTTTTACTGTGTCCTATAAGATTGCTAGTGAGCAGTTTTACTGTGTCCTATAAGATTGCTAGTAAGCAGTTTTACTGTGTCCTATAAGATTGCTAGTAAGCAGGTTTTACTGTGTCCTATAAGATTGCTAATGAGAAGTTTTACTGTGTCCTATAAGATTGCTAGTAAGCAGGTTTTACTGTGTCCTATAAGATTGCTAGTGAGCAGGTTTTACTGTGCCCTATAAGATTGCTAGTAAGCAGGTTTTACTGTGTCCTATAAGATTGCTAGTGAGCAGTTTTATTGTGTCCTATAAGATTGCTAGTAAGCAGTTTTACTGTGTCCTATAAGATTGCTAGTAAGCAGGTTTTACTGTGTCCTATAAGATTGCTAGTGAGCAGTTTTACTGTGCCCTATAAGATTGCTAGTAAGCAGGTTTTACTGTGTCCTATAAGATTGCTAGTAAGCAGGTTTTACTGTGTCCTATAAGATTGCTAGTAAGCAGGTTTTACTGTGTCCTATAAGATTGCTAGTGAGCAGGTTTTACTGTGCCCTATAAGATTGCTAGTAAGCAGGTTTTAATGTGTCCTATAAGATTGCTAGTGAGCAGTTTTACTGTGTCCTATAAGATTGCTAGAAAGCAGGTTTTACTGTGTCCTATAAGATTGCTAGTGAGCAGGTTTTACTGTGCCCTATAAAATTGCTAGTAAGCAGGTTTTACTGTGCCCTATAAGATTGAAATACATCGACAACCAACGCAGTGTTCGACCAGGAGCTTCGGACTGCGAAAGAGATCAATACAAATGTATATGTTGCCTTTATTACTACTCTCATATCTTATGGATCGTTTATTGGCACACGTATAAGGTCAGCCTGATGGTGATGGTGATGGTAAGCTTTTAAACTCATCCGCATCAGGTGTCATGAGGATAATCAGACTCATGGGGGGGGGGGGGGGAATAAAAAAAAA